TTTCCTTGGTTGCAACTCTTTGAGCAAATAATTTTAACCGATTGCCACTTTCGATTGGACTTTAATTTGTATCCAGTTTGCTTGACAAGTTTGATGCCTAATAAATAATAATAAATTAATATCCTTGGACATTTTTACACTGCGCCGCTAGTCCCAAACTAAGCAAAGTTTGTGCTATGGGTACTAGACAACGCTGCCTAGTGAAATACTTTTTTTTTGTAAATACATACATATTATACATAGCCCATTTATGCCCGGCCGGGAACCGAACCCAGGGCCTTTTGGCATAGTAGTCCGTTCTGAACCACTACACCAAACGGCTGACATAATCTAAAAAAAAACAGTACCTACTCAGTTAAGTCCGGATAACAAATAAAGGTAACAAAGAATCGTAAAAGGCTCTATGCTTTGTTTAAGAAACAAAATGCTTACATACTGCAGTGTTCAATACGCAGACAATCTTTCAAGATCAGACACAGATTGACAGAGAATACGTTGTTTGTATTTTACTCTGCAAACCTCCTGCCCCAGAGAATACAGCGTCTAGGCATGCACGTAGCAAAGGAATAAGAAATACATAATTTATAAACATGAAAGAACTGCAGATGTAGGTAATCGGTTGGATAACTTACCCTTACCCAAAAAACAAAAGTAATTACTTTCATAATTTTTCAGCCACAATACGTCCATTGCTAGACATAGGCCACATCGCCCGGTTGGTAGCGGCCTGCATCCAGCGCTTTCTTGCTACCTTTATGAGGTCGGCAGTCCACCTTGTGGGTGGTTCATCATCATCATCATCTCAGTCATAGGACGTCCACTGCTAAACATAGGCCTCCCCCAATGCTTTCCATGTTACCCGGTTGGTAGCGGCCTGCGTCCAGCGCTTTCCTGCTACCTTTATGAGGTCGGCAGTCCACCTTGTGGGTAGATGTCCCACGCTGCATTTTCCGGTACCTACTTTTTGGTTGTAATACTTAAATGAATAGGTCTAGCATATTTATTTACCTCAGTAAAACCTGTCAGTATTTTATTGGAAAACGTAGTGTTGATTCACGTTTTCAGGCCAATTCCATTATAATTTCAAACGCTTTCCAGTTGAAAATATTCTGAATGGATTATCAGAATAATAAATTCAAACCTGACTACTTTTTCTGGTACCTGCTTGTTTTATTAAAACAAAACGAAATGATCAATTCAAATGGTTGGTTTATGTGAATTCGATTTAGATTTCTAGGAACTGGTTTCTATTGGAAAAGTCGGTAACTATGTATTACAAATTTTCCGAAGTATTGACTTTTATATCGAATCTGCGGCTTGCTTAAATTACAATCGAATTTTCCCAAAATCGTTCACGTTTATTAATGTTTGAATTCAAAACTGAATTGAAAATGTATACAAATAAAGTTCATTTTCGTCTTTAAACTTTTTTACACGTTTTCAGGTGTATAAAATGAAGTTTCCCACAGGTCAAGGAGGCGAGTACTTTTCGACAGCTCATTATCAAGCAGTCAAAGCGCTGTAACCTGTTAAAATAACAGGAGTTTGCGACGAGGTATTAACCACGAGATAGGGATGCGCCATCGCGCCACTGCTAAATTTTATCTAAAAACTATTCATTACTAATACGTATACATCCGGTAAGTTAAAACCTAAGCTAAATTAGACTACTGACGACAATGTACCCCGTAATAATGCCTGACAAAAGCAATAAAATGAGAAAACCAGCAAGATATTATTTTCCCTGAGTATACGTATACTGGACCTTTAAATACCTTTAATTTGTACTAAAGTAGTAGAGTAGGGTGAATCACATTTAATAGCTGTTTATAACTGAATGAAAATAATGTTCCACAAGGTGGACCAACGACCTCATAAAGCTAGAAGGAAAGTGCTGGATGCAGACCACTGCCAACCGGTCAATATGGAAGTCATTCGGAGAGGCCTATGTTCAGCAGTGGTTGTCATGTGTTTAAAATTATAATAATTATGAATGTCCTTAATTGTTTCACATTAGGTACAGATATAAGCATCAAATATTTTAATTCAGAATACAAAACAACATGGGTAATGTCCAGCTTTAAAAATTAAAAACGCACAGCCCTACTGAGAGTGGGTCCGTCGGCAAATGACGTACTGACAGAAACTTCTTGTTTGCAACCGCGCCGGAAGAGCTACACAAATAACCCGTTTTGCATTATGAAAATAGAGTGGGTGGAATAAAAACAAGCTAGAACTTTCAATTTGAAAGGCGTTTTTCTACCAATAGAACCAATAGCTTTTGTTTTTGGAATAATTTTATAGTTTTACTTTTTTTGCAGCATTTTATCAAATTATGTCACAAACGACACTTATCATGTTCATACTTACGTCTATTTCGCTTGAAACCTTCCTAACGAAACAAAATTACATAGGTGTATGATTGGTATGAAAATTACATAGGTATACTTGCGATCTTTAGAACTTAAACTGACCGGACTATGCTACAGCTGTTAGTGGCATGGCGTTACAATGGCGATATAAATGCTGCCCTCTCCCTTGATTCTCTGGAGAAGATCGCTGCCTAGTGAAATGCCGTCTAAATTGCGGTGTTTCGGATTTTTATTTATTTTGTGTCTTTATTGCGTGATTTACAATAAATCTGTCTAGTTACCAGGTACATTGAGATTATATCGTGTCTATTTCATTTACTTTCAATGTGCGGTATAAAACAATCAACTATCGCAATGGCGGAGCGATTCCTGTATGAATGGAAGCGATGCAGTGGCTTGAGCGGTGGACAAAGAGCGGCGAGATAAGAATCGCAATGCAAGGAGATATTGAATGCAAGCCGTGGTGAATCGTTCAAGTCGCCGAGGGAATCGTATGTACTCGTACTCGTATGTATCGTATAATTGTATGCGTATTATTCGGATATAAAATTGACGATATATAAATAAGTTTGAGTCTAATAAGTACTTTATTATAAACAAACAATAATTAACATATGAATTTTAAAATATGAATATACAGAAAAGACTAGAAAAGTTATAAACTGCGGATGTCTTATGGCGTTAAAGATATAATATAATCTAATAAAGGCTGGGTTGCACCAACTTAGTTTAACTTTAATTTGTCAAACTCCATACAAAAATCACCGGTTATCGTTATAGTTACGGTTAAAGTCAGATGATCCAACTCAACCTAAATAAATTATCTTTAAATATCTTAAGTTACCTTTAAATAAAAGCATACCGTAGTTACTAGCAAGAATGAGCTTTAATTAAATAAACGAATATAATAACGTAGTAGAATCTTGAATGATCTGAAAACGTTTGTAATTAAATAATAAAATAGTGAAGAGGCTAGGGAATTGGCGCTATTTTGAAATATCTGGCTGTCTAGCCAGATATTAAAACAGACAGACATCCTCTTTTTCTTCGTGCCTACGTATTCCCCAATGCACAAATAGTCAAAATTAAAGTAGGTACACTAGACCGAAAAGAAAAAGAAAAGCTTCTATTCAAAATTACCTAATTACTGAGCTTTATAAAACAATATTTACATACACATACTGAAAAAAATTAAGTTATACAGGGTGATTTAGCGGATAAAAATGATTAAAGAAAAAATTTTTTTTTCTTTACGTAGTACCTACTTACATCGAATAAGTTACTGATTCTGAATCGCTCCTAAAAATTTGGACACTGATTGCAAAATCATCCTGTAGGTTTTCAAAATTACCTACCGAGCTTTATGAAACAAAACATTCTGAAAAAAGTTAAGTTATTTTATATTTATTAAAAAAACTAAAGCTTGCATAAGTTTATTATTTAATTTCATAAATCTAGGTCAGGTAATTTGGAAGATAATGAAGATTTTCTAACCGACCCTTTTTATTTGCGGTCCAGTATATTTCAGTAGGAAAATAAACAGTTAGAACCCACAAGTATTTCTAGACATGGGTGTCGGCTTCCCGTCTGCTCAGGTAAGGACGGCACATCAAGGTAATCACTGTGGTACCTTATTTCCTCGCAAAAGGGTCGAATTTGCATCAAAAATGTAGAGTCTAATGTGCTGTCAACTATTTTAACCGCAAGAATATTGTAGTGTGGTCGTTTTATTTTTAGATTTTCTATAGGTATATTTACATTTCAACACCGACCCCAATCATTGTCAAAGTACGGCTTAAGGCTGAGATTTAGTTTCCCACAGTGTGGTAAAAATAGGGATAAAAAATATTTGTATTATGCATTGATTTGTTTTGTGAATGACGGCATGAAGCGGAAAACTTATGACGTTTTTTTATTAAAAGCAAAACGTAATTTATCTTTGTTACCAGTATATGAATATGACTTTTGGAGATAGTAAAATGTAATTTTGTTTTGATATCAAAAACAAGTTTAGCAAACAAATAAAATATTAAAGTAATACACAATTACATATAAGTAAGTCTGTTTTCTGAATAAAACAAAACAAAATAAAATAAATGATATAGGCAGAAAAAACACTGTAACCTATTTGAGGATTAACGTTCATCAGTTGTTTTATTACAATAAACAAGCTCTATGTAATTTAGATAATTGATAGTGTAATATTTACTGGATGTAATCCCAAACATATTTTATCAGTATTATTTTCATAAATGTTAACTGTGTTTGCAATGCGAATATTTATTAGTACATAAAGCTGAATCATCCTCTCACAGAAAAAACTTTTTAAAAGAGTAACAGTAGTTCTAATTTTAGAGTTAAAAATATATTACACTACAGCCCTACTTTCCCTTACATATCGTATACACTAACGAACTATTAATAGCGGAGCAAATAAGACTAAGGAAGCGCTGAGTGTTGTGCATGTCTAACGCATTAGCGGCCGACTTCAAACTAATCAAGAACGGCGTAGCCCGCGTTACGCGTGTATGTATGTAATTTATCAGCGCTTATTCCCATATAGCAATCTGTAGGGATGTTCTAGTACGCAGACTCCGGTCCTGCTCCAGCCAGTCGGTTACCGGAGGGAAGACGAGGCGGACGCCCCGTGACGTCACGCGGACAACTCTCTCGACCAGCGGACAGTGCATGAAAGTTTCGAACAAGTTACAGTTGTTTACGTAGACCAGGATTTCTGTTGGAATGATTGAAATCACTTAAAAAGTTAAGGTAAGTTCAGTGTTTTATAATTTTATGAATAAGGTGAAGTGATTTTTTTTGTAACAGGAAAAGTTTCTATTTACCTGAAAAGGTTTAGCTGTTTCTGAGTGGAAATGAATCCTTTTAAGACGGTGCGCGACTCGCCAAAACTTCCCCTCGGCAAACTTTGCGCGACCAATATCGGTGGACTTTTACTTTTAGATTGATTAGAAATTTAACTCTGTAAAGAATTAATTACAGGCCTACGGGATTCCAAACCAATTTAACAGTAAGCTTCTCAAGTTTGCAACGAGATTCTTAAGTAAAATATTGTGTTAGAGATTTGTTATTAATATTTTAAGAAGAGACACGTGCGGTACATGTTGTCATGAAACTTTCATCGCCACTTAAATCTTTGCACCCTCTTTCACCGGTGAAATAACACAAGTTTATTTTAGCTACGACGAAAGTAGATAATAAACATAAGCCCATAATACGTTACAATAATTTCAGCTGTAAAACTTTTAGGTCACACGATATACGGTTAACCAAGCGACATTTTATAAACTATCTGTAGACATTAAGGCTACGAAACACTCAACAAATCTATTTTCTGATCTGTAACCCGTTTGGTTCGGTGTTTTTCTATTTTAGTACATAATGTGAAGGGATAAAGTGCATATTGTGTTATGATGTTGGTGGGTATACCCAAAATGACAGCTCTGACACTCGACACTCGTCAGGCCCGGGTCGTATCTCGAGAGTGACGGATAAGAATCATTTGTTGGCGCGAAGTGGAGTATATCAATGTGGTCCAGACCGAAAAAAGTCGAACATTGATTTTTTTGGACGCCGAGGTCGATTTATTTTGTTTATTGTCTGTGTTGATCGATGTAGAGCTAGATTTGTCAGATCAAAAAGATAGAATTAATGTATTTTATTAAATCTCTATGTATAAGACCTTTCCTAGAATTGAGGCAAAGTTTTTACGGAATTAAGAGCTTAACTAATTATTATTGTATTTTAAGGTATTATAATCGGCTCCGTGTAATGCCGTGCTTGAAATTACAAAAAAAAAATAACACTCGTTACGGATTCCATAACTTCTACAACTTTTACATATCTAGTAAGTTACTGTAACTGTAAATTACGAAAGCAATATTTCCAACGTTGAATGAATGACGTAGAAATTTTACAATACTAGCTGAGTATTTCCTCCTAAATAAAAACAAATTTAATGATTCTGACGTCCGTGTAAAATTGAACCTCATTTCTTTCGTAAAAGTTAATTAAGTCTTTAAACTCCTACATTAATCACCAGAGGGTAATTGAGCAAAATCAATTTCGGTAGCTCAAAATTAAATGTTTTCCCGAACAAGTTTGTGATATTAGTCTTATCAAGTTACTGTCTGATTATAATTGAGTTTGCGATCAATTCTAAACCAACTTTACTAACAGTTCCGTTGAAATTCCGTTTAACGCGAAAATCTTGGGTTGTAGTGAAAATTTTAATATGGATTTAGTTAACTTTATCTAAATCTGCATTTATTAGACTTTACTTGTATTTTATTATACCTGTACTTATTTAAAACTATACTCATGTCAAACATGAAACTAAATACTCGTACCTACCTACTTATAAAATTAATTAAATATAATATTTCATCAATAATCTAGGCCTAAGCTCATCAAAGCTTATGCTATAATGATTAGACATTAAAAATAAGGGTTAAACCCTAAACATTTCTTAAGAAGTTCACAGCTTTCATATCAACCTTAGCATAAATAATACACTTGAGTAGGTACGAACCAAGGTTTGAGCTATGTTTTAGAATAACAGTTAGAACGTGTTAGTTTATATCTAACTCAATTTGAAAGGGAAAACTTGACTTGTGAAAATGTAAATTACCTAGTTCTTTCTTCTATTCCATTTAGAAACAAAGCCCTAATAACAGACTGTACCTAATACTCGTAGTCTCTATGGGCCAAGTTCATTTTACTTGATATACCTACATAAAGAAACCCAATTTCGGGGACAAACTAAGAACAAAGTTTAGACGTCAAAGTGCGTCGCAAATCATATTACGTCAGATATTAGAAATCCAAAGTGCTAAACAACTTTGATATATGAGACGTAGCTAATAGGCTGTTTCAAAGAAGCTTTGTTTGGCCTCTACTATACTCGGCGTCAAAGAAATCGCACCTCCCGCGACAAGAACTTTAAAGATTTTCTTCTGACACAATCCTGGTGCTCCGCAATTAATTAATAAACTTAAAAACTCATTTTTTCATTAACAGTCACCATAAAGACTTGAAAAAACCAACAACTATTGCCCGTCACATTTAGGACCAATAAGACCAATTTTTGTGGTTATAAAACCAAATAATGATCTCACGTGTCCTTTTTAACAGATGGATAGCGATTAATCCCAATTTAACAGTTTTATAACCATAAAAGTTGGCTCAAGCGTAGGTATCTACTTGTCGTTTTAAGAAGAGACAGTGGATCCTTCTATAGACACATTTGTGAGGTAAAAACCTTTCCTTTAATGAAATGAAGTTTAGAACTTGGCTTTCAAATGGAACCAATATTGGTGAGAAGTGGGGATGCATACGCTTGAAAGTGCTTGTCGCGGGAGGTGCGATTTATTTGACACCGAGTGTATTATATAATTATGAACCAAGTATTTAGGTTGGGTCGTATTCTGCTTTATGGGCGGGCAACGGCACGTTTTAATTTAAATGAAAGAGAAATCAAATAGGCTCATGGCACTCCGGGATCGTTGTTTACCAATCGTTGAGTCTACAAACGGTTCTGAGTGCTCGTTAATTTGCATTTTGGAGCTTGTTACCGGTTGCTAACGGTTATTTTAAATGAGCAATTATGATTCATTTCCCTGCAGACTACAGATTTTTGTCGGCCGATAGTTGCGCCCAATTTTAATTTGTATGAAGAATCAGCCGATGTAATGTGTGTACTTTCATAGGTACATGTGCATACTGATTAACATCCCGACCCGACTATCTGCCCACAAAATGCCGGTAGTCTGCGACTAGGCTATAAGTTTTGTCTAAACTAAAAGTTATTTGAATGAATGAACTAATGGTATAGGTATATAACACAGCTGTCACGCAAAAGAATAGTTAGGTTTACGACGTTACCTTTTCGTGATAATGTCCCAAAAGATCATTAAAAAATAAAACACTTTATTAACCACTTCCGAAACTCCTCATTTTCCTACCAGCGAGTAAAAAATACGATAAACTTAGTTTAGCGAGTAATTCAATAGAGTTGCCAATATTGACGACGTAAGCATCTTTTCCACTTCATTCGCTGAAAACAAGATTCTTGCACGGATTTTCATGTGAAAAACATTTTCTAAGTCAGTCAAAGTTCCTTCTTTGAATGAAATTGAAAGAGATTATCAGAACTTACTATAACAGCTCCTAATGGCATTTTTAAAGCACATAAGCTTCATGAGGTCTACTGCTTCGACGTAGCGTGACATCATGGTTGATTAATTACCTATTTCAAAATAAATATTCCTAAAAAGTTAATCACATTTAGGCTGGGTTGCAACATTTTACTTTAGCTTTATCAAACGTCAAAAATTTGTCAATAAGCAACGGTTATCGTCATAGTCACGGTTAAAATAAGGTGATGCTACTCAGCCTAAGTAATCGTACAACTTAATGAACATGTAAATGTAGAGTCATTTTAATACCTCAAATGATACCAGTTTTCAAAGCAGTAATGAAAATGTTATTTCTAAAAGATATTCCTTCCACAACATGCGCTTTAAAATACACTCGCGGCGTACTTTTATTTCCTGAAATATGTGCAGTGATTGTTTAGAATGGAAACAGTGGGCTCCGCGGAACAAAACAAGTTCCAAACTAATACAGGGTGTGTTACAATTGAAACTGTACGATGTTCTGTTATTGTTACAAAACAGTTCTGTAGCGATTTGAATATCATTCTGATAATTTGCCATTTAAATATCTTCCACCTGTTACCGAAAGCTTTGGTAATTTATCTAAACAGATACGGTTATGATTATTATTTACATGCCTAATTAATCTTTTGGTATTGTTATATAATTCCGTTAGGTTAGGTTAGGTTAGGTTAGGTTAGGTTAGGTTAGGTTAGTTACTTTTTAGTAACTTTTTGTTACACTTGTATGTAGTTACGAAAGATCTCGCGTGAATTGTAGTCCATCCATATAATGATAAAACTACTAAACCGGCTATACTATTTTTAACCCATGACGACTGCTGCACTAAAACTTAGCAGTATGACTTCTTTTTTAGTTTTAGCAGGTGCTATTTTTTAAACAAAAATGCCTGGTTTCATATGCCCTGTCATTTCAAACGACGTGAAAACCATAAAGGCACATATTAGTATTATTTTCTAAGCTAAAAATCTTATCTAAATACACAAACGTTTATTTTTACAGTATAATCGCAGCGATTCGTCTAATAGAAAAACCGCTAATTTCCGGCCGTCCACTGGCCGTCAGATTACGAAACGCGAGCGCGTGCGATGTCGACTCCAAATGATCCATAAACCTAAACTGACAAATTGATGGCCGCTGATCCCTGGGCCGATGAATTTAGATCGTTTCTTCAATCGATACTTATGGATCAGTATGATGATATGAAGTAGAAAAAATATACCTAATATAAAAAAATTAAATCCATCGGCATAATTTTTTATTTTTTTAATCGATTAACTTAGGTCTTAACCTCAAAAAGAAGTATCCTCGAAGTTTTTAGCCATACTTACTCATTATTACTACATAATATTATGTTTATATTGTATGAGTTCTACTGGACCTATATTTTATCTTACTTCATAGAAGAGATTAAGCTTAGAGATTAGATTGGCACTTAATAGATAATGAATACTATTTACTGTTTCAATTAGGTCAGATAAACGATAAAAACTTCAATGATTGTTTTAACAAATTACTTAGCAAGCCAACAAAATAATTTCTCGATCGTCACCAAATTGTCATGTTAAATTATTC